TTCTTGGGCCTTTACACTTGCGAATTGATTCAGAAAACTTGAACTAAATCCATCAAAGTCCCTGACGGCTCCCAGGGGCAATTGATGAAACCAATCTTGCGCAGGTCCTCGTAGAGTCGTCAGGAACGCTCGACATTGAACAGGGTCATTGTAGTGGTGCAACACCGCCATGTTTTCAAAACTCCTCAGATGTCGAGAGGGGTCAGTCGACCCGTCGTACCAGATGTTAAGTTCTCTAAACCCCTGAGGTAAGTCAGCATCTAGAATGTGTTGTGAAAAAGGATGTCCCCTCGAGCTTCCTGTTTTTCTCCCCTCGACTCGAGCCTGCAAATCTCGCACCTGCGCTAACAACTGCTCCAGGGTGTCGTTTCTTGCCTGTGGATTGACTGTCCTGACAGAAGATTCCTCTTCATCTGCCCTCCTATTTTGCCTTTCATGTGACTGCGCCTGCTGTTCGCGTTCAGGGGGTTGTTGTTCATTTTGGGGCTGCTCGACCCTAGCTTGTTCGATCCTAAGCTGTTCGACCCTAGGCTGCTAGACTCGAGTCTGTTTGATTTGGGCTGCCACAGCTTCGACAATCATCCTCTGCATCTCGCTTCTTGTCATGGTCAGTGTTTGTTCCTCGATTTGGGGTGGTGGCCTTGTCTCCTGATCAAGTCGCCCAGATTGCCTCCCCAATCTCAAAGATGTTTCGGTCGATACGTGACCATCCGCTTCTCCGCTCGTGTCCTTCACTTGACTGGCCTCCCCTTGGGTGAGAACTGGGATCTTGACTCCGGGTGGGGTAATAGGCGTCTCTTCCTCCATACGCCTTCCTGACGGCCCGTGTGCCCCAAACGGCGAGAAACCGAACACTTGGAGCGGTGGTTTGGGGTTGGGAATCGGCGGAGGTCGCTTGTCAGTCCATGCTGCCCTGAAATCTTCGTTCAAGTTTTTCTGCAATCCTTCCTTCTCAGCCATCGGAAATAGATACAAACTAGGTGTAAAGCTCTTAATTCCTTCAAGAGCTCCCCACAGACGACGCCAAATGATGGGTCTATTCTCGGATCTGGGGTGAACCGGTGGAAATTCGCCCGGACCTGGAATGAACCGATGAGAACGAGCTCAGATCTGTCTTGATGGCCTCCAAATTGCTATCGAACCGCGAGAACACCTGCAAGAAGTCAACGCCGGCGTAGAGCCTCCGACGCTCAAGTCAGTATGTGAAAAGAGTGTAAAGAGCTGCTCTGAGGAAGCAGCAGCAATGGAGAAGAATGTGGAATGAATGAGAGTTAGGGTTTTGGAGTTACCTCAACTCCTTTATATAGAAATGGAACATTTACCTGAAGTCCCCAAAATGCCCCGGCCGACTTATTGGAAATGTCCAAACTACCCCGGTCGGTTCGCATTCCGTCCATTTCCTAGTCAGCTTCTAGATCCTTCCTTATCCTTAGCTTCCCTTCGATATGCTGAAGTGTATTAGAGCTGTCGAGATTTATGGGCTTCCAGACCTCTTCAGTCAACTTGATCCAATCGACTCGAGTCGACTGGGTCATACTCAATCGCTAGTGGATCCTGATATGCTTTTGACCGTCGCCTCGCAGGAAATCGACTTATACTAGTCGACATGTAGGAGTCAACCGGAGGGTATTTGGACCCGTAATTGGAGATATTATAGGGAATATGATGAGAGAGTCGGCTTTGGCTAAGTCGACTCGGTAATTCTGGAACCCTTGATAGTGTAAACCGTTATACGACAGTATGGCTATATCACAACATATAACTATATTAAACATAAATATATCAATTGAGAAATAATTTTATTTTTCTAATTAATTTTAATAAATATTATTATTTTTATTATTATAAAGATAAATATAATTTATTTATTTCATATATACAATATGGACGTCAAATCGAAGATCATCAAAACATGATTAATTTGATATATTATATATGTAAAGCTAATAAGAAATACAAAAGTTATCAACTTTTAAAATACATTTACAATTCAATAGGTAATTGAAAGAAGCAAATCAAAAGTCAAGAAACAAATCTAAAATTATAAAGAATTAAAAGGTTATATTAGTACAAGTGATATTAAAATACCTAAGTTAGCTAAATAATATTTATGGAATTTAACCTAGATTATTAATTATTAATATATCAATATTATTTGTCCAACCTAATTACGAAGCATGATTTTTCGCCAAGTAAGATTTCGAAGCAACATATGCAATCAGCGCATTCGAGAATTATATATAGGCATTGTTTGGTGATCAACGGATAGCGGCTAGCGGATTATATTAGCTTATTTGACCAGCGGATTGCATTAGCGGTTTTTAAATAACTGTTTGGTAAATTGCTGAAAGCTTATAGTTGTTTGACATTGCAAAATGACCAATAATGGCATTTTATTATTTAGGGTTTATTCTTTTAATAATAATATATTAAAATATTTGATATTATTTAGTTGGTAATTTATAAACATTTATATATATATATATATATATTAACAAAATTTACTAACATTTGATGAAGAAGTTATGAATTTTACATTTTTCTAGATAAATTAATCATATGGATGACATATTAT